TGCACAGCTCCAATTTAACGGCACCTCCTTATATACGATATTTTGATGATTTTTTATTCACCGTTTATTTCAAGTTTCCAATTTGAATATGGTAATGGCTTATGACAAACAATGCCTATGTATGTCCACGTCGTATAGACCCCAATATAACGGCTATATTCGGTATTTTTAAAATTTTAACAGAATTTTTTAAGGATTTTATTTTTTAAAAATTTCCAAATTCGTTGCAAATGGTGGAGGGTATTAAAAATTCGGCCCGGCTGAACTTAGTGCTTTTTAACTTGTTATTATTGTCATAGTGTTGTTTTATTATAATATTTATGGTTTTCAAAGGGAAGCTGTTTCTAGTCAGTATTGATGTAATTTTCGTTATATTTTCTCTATGAAATTCTTCGTCGCTAACATTTAACACCAGATTAATGAAATTCGATACAGTGTTAATTATTATTGATTTTAAGTACTTCGAATGAAAATTAACTAATCTTCCCGATGCCGTAGGTTTTTGGTACCAATTCGTCCGTATTTTTTTCCTTCCTTGTTATTAATACATCTAAGTATGGTAGTTGGCCATTAATTTCGTTTTCTATTGTAAATTTAATGCGATTATCGTAGCTATTGAATGTCGTCAGTAAATTGTTTGTTGCACGTGATTTAGTTATTCCAAAAAGGTCGGCAACGTGTTTGATCAGGAACTTAGGTGTAATATCACAGATTTCCATACATCTATCCAAAAACTCTTCCATCACAATATCGGCTACTATCGGAGATGCTGCGGATCCCATGGGAAGACCTTTCCTTTGCTGGTAGAAATTGTTCTTGTATCTAAAATAACGGTTATCATATATGAAAAATTTGAGTACTTTTAAGAATAAACTCTTTGAGATTTTTGTCGTATGCAGGTCCACGTCTCGTATAGTCCCCAAGTGGTAGTTTTCGCATTATTTATTTTTTTTTTTTGGAAATTTACTTCGAAATGATAGAGGGTATTTAAAGTTCGGCCCGGCCGAACTTAGCCCCTTTTTACTTGTTCTTTTGTAGTTTGTATGTAGGGTCCGAGCTCATTCGCTTATATGTCATTTACTAATGTGTCCTCCTTTTTATCGTAATCTGTTATTTTCATGGTGACCGTTGTATTGCCTTTATCGATTGCAATATAATTATATTTTTATTTTCTCTCATAAGTTTTCTAGTTTGTTTTACTGTTAGTAAATAATACTTTTCTCTTTCTTATAGTTCATGTTTGTTCATGTGATTCTCTATCATTGATGTGAAGTTATTTTTCGCTGTCTCCTAATTCTCTTTGTCTCTTATGGTTTTTATGCAGTCTTCTCCATTTCCTTTGTATTTGAGCAGGGGCAACTCTTCTATTGTATGAGGAAGGGTAAATTTTTTGACATGTGAGAGTAGCCAGTTAACTTCATCCGGTATTTCTGTGTCAGTTAAGTTTACGAAACAATGTCTGTTGTGTTGTGTTTCCAGCTCTTGTTTCTGCTTTTCCTGTAATGCTTTGAATTTTTTTTGTGTTTTTCTTTTATGTCTCTCAACATCTCTTTTGATAGATCATTTTCACATACGAATAACATGTTAGCATCTTTTACCGACAAAATTAGTTTTGTAGGCTCTGTTATTGTTTCTATTTTATTATTATTTTTTTCCAATTCGTGTTTCTGTTTAATGAGTAAGTTTAAGATCTTTTTATGAAAATTCCCTATGTAAACCTTTTATCTATTTTGTAGTTGTTCTGGTACTTCCTCGTTTGTGTCAAATATTTTGTTTATGTTTTTAGTTATTTTATTCGACCTTTATTTTAAATTATTCCAAAATATTTACTCAGTTAAAACCAAAAATAGACAAATCGAATTTAATATACAAAATAAAATGTAATGGCAACGAAAACGAAAAATGCCAAAAATATTACATCGGGACAACAAAAAATAACTTAAAGCACGGTTATCTGGGCACAAATCAGACATTAGGAACATATCATCGACCACAACACAGAAAACAGACCTCTCTACCACCGAACAACATCATCCAGAATTGGAGAGAGTGAGAGTGGCTACAGTGCGAGAACAACTACCAGAAGCGGCTTATGTTGGAAACTCTACACATAATGAATACTCCAACATCACAACGAATAAAGAACAAACAGATACAGAGAATCTAGCACACAGTTAGATATCTAATTACAAATATAAATAAAATACAATAAGAAGAGAATACCGCAGTAACAAAACAGATGACAGCAACACAAGGTCGACGTCGGTTCTTGGCGAAATGTTGTAATTTTTGTTATATGTTAAATATTGTTCCTCATAATGTCTTCCGTCGGAGGACGAAACATCGAAAATAATAAATAAATAAATAATATAAAAAAACAACAAAGAGCTTGAGCTCAATTTTATTAAACTTATAGGGTAAGTGTACCAGTAGTCGGCACCTTTAGGATTTTCGCGTTTTTAATCGCTCACAACTCTGAATGGAAATTTTCAATTATTACAAAGTTAATTTATTCAGATTCGAAATTTTGTTTAGTTTTTGCAATAATAAATAAAGTTTTAATAACTTTTTATTAAATTTCATAAATTTGTAGTTTTATTAAAACAATGCTTTTTGCCAGTAGTCGGCACCACTTGCCAATTGTCGGTATGGCATGTTCCAACAGTCGGCATACCAATTTTGTTGTAAGCATAATTAATAATAATAATAAATTAATTCATTAAAATATAATATTTTTGTTTTGTTAAACTTTTTCGACGTCTTTATTGTACTTTTCTTAAGAATATGGATTGTTGAGGACGTTCACAGACAAAAATTTAATTTTTATTAGAATAAATCATCTTTTCTTACCGAAATTGTACACAAAGATAGCTGACAATATGTTTGAAGTAAACAAAATACATTTAGTTATAATAGTTTAATTTTTTTGGGCTTAAAAATAAAAAGTGCCGACTACTGGGACATGCCGAACTTAGGCACACTTACCCTATTTGGAATAATTGGAAAATAAACTTCGATTAGCTTACGAGTTCAGATAAATATGCACGTGTTTTATTAAATAACTCGTTGTTATCGAAAGTTAGCGTCGTTGCTAAATTGGTATTAAAAGCTGTTAATTTAAAAAAGAATAAAAAGCAAACGTTTGCGTAATTGAAAACCAAATTAATTTCTATTAAAATGGAGCGTGGTAAAAAACATCGAAATAATCCTGATTCGGAAAATGTCAATATTAAGTACAAGTACAGCACAAAATAATAATATATAGAAAGAATTTTGTTCAATTCTATGGAATTAAATTGTCGACTAAACAATTCTGAAGTAATATATTGATGATGTTATGCGTTTGTAGTCGGAACTAGATATTCGAGATCATGATATTGATGATCGTGGTGAACTGGGAGATTTATGACCTTATTTTTTAGAATTTAATCTAAATATAGGGAAAGCGGAATGCCAGAAGCACCATTCTAGGTTGCCTAATATGAGATTTCCCATAAATTCTGAGATGAGATTCCATCCTAGAATTTCTAATGCATTCGCCTGATGCCTCTCCACTAAGCTAACGTGAGTCTGAAATCGACTGAAAAGTGAAGTCTATGAAACAAATCACACAAATTTCATTGCAGTAACGTTTGTTTACTTCTTTCATGAAGCCGTCCGATAAATTAAAAATTTTCACATCTATTTGTATGATCCAATTAGGAATAAAAATCATAGGTGTAAGCGAGATTTTTTGAGAAAGGCTAGCATCGATTTAGCGATGTCGACAGAGTCTGTCTGTCTATAGTAATCACTGATAAAATTCACATTTGTGCGACATTTTTGCCTTCTATCTCAATTTGTTCGAAAGATAGCGTAATTACAAAAAGCAGACACACAGACAGACAGCCGGACATCGCTAAATCGACTTAGAATTTTACTCTGATCATGGATAAATACACTTTATTGGGCCTGACATGGTTATTTCGAGGAGTTAAATACGTAATGACGAATTTAATATCCTCGATAGGATAGTGTATACCCTCCTCCATTGCATATTGAGGAAATGTTGCTAGAAAATGATGAAAGAGGCAACGAAAGTTGAGATTAAAAGTTTACGAAAGAAGCCTTTAATATTTTTCATCATTTGGAAGTAACTTGCAGAATTAAAGAAATGTCCTTTTAAAGTCACGAATATCATGTATTACAGTTATACGGGGTAATACAAAATCCTGGATCTTCAAAGCCAAATATCTGCCAGCGATAATTAACGTCGGTATTTGGTATTGAAAATGGGCCATATAGTTCTACTTTTTGATGTAGATACATTGTAGTTTGGATATTTTAGTCATATTTTTAAACATAATTTGCTGTAAATTGGAAGCTTGTGCTGTGGAGGAAATATTTTTACAAAGAATTGTCAATATAATTCCAAGTTTCAGTGTTGTCACCATAAAGCTGTACTCGAGATTCGGTATTTTTTTGATTTGGGTCACATTTTTCACTGGAATTGTATCAAATTTGGAGTTCGTAATGTGTACTACTTCCTGTGAGAGAAAATTGCATATACAGTTCCACGTCGTCGTATATCCCCCCATATAAGATATTTTAATTGTTTAAGCTACATTTTTCAAATTTAGAGATTGAAATGGGTACTATTTTATAAGACAGAAAACAGATGCTTGTCCTCACATAGACTCCATACAACTGTATGTTGATAATTCTACATACATTTTTCACCGGAATTATTTCAAATTTGGAGTTCGCTATGACAGAAAATTGATGCAGAAGATATATTTCTTCTCTCAAACTTCGCATTTGGATTTCGTAATACGCACCGCCCTCGCTAACAGTTAATTGGTTATAGTGGTACACATTTTTTATGGTCCCAAATACCTGATATTCGAAAGTTTTAAAATGTTAGCAGCATTTTTCAATGGCCTGGTCGAACTATCGCATGCGTTACAATAAATTAATAAACTTTGCCTACTTATTATTTAATTCTTATTCTGTCTTTCTAGATACGGGTTGCGCATTCGGAGGGAGGATTTTGGGAGAGCACAGTTATATACAATGTCTCGTCTATGCAACAAAGGTACCCCTTGGTAAGTTTTCTAAGCGCTGTATGTTTATATTCATTAGTCCATAGTCTAATCAGTGTACGGACAACGAACTGCTCTCACTGCCTGTCAACGAAACAATTAATAAAGCTATAAGTTCGGCCGGGCCGAACTTTGAATACCCTCCACCAATTGGAATGAATTTGGTAATTTTCAAAAAAATTAAATCCGTTAAAAATTCTGTTAAAATCTAAAAAATACCAAATGCAGCCATCATATTACAGTCTAAACGATGACGTGGACATGCATAGGCAGCTTTTGTCATAAGCCATTACAATATTCAAATGCGAAATTTGAAAAAAAAATCGGTGAATGATGTAGCAAAAATCAGTAATATAGGGAGCTGCTATTATATGGGGACTATACCAAAATGTGGCCCTGCACAGACACTTTTTTGTCATAGGCCTTAGTATCCATTTCGAACCTCAAATACCAAATTTGACACAATTCCGGTGAATAATGTCGCTAAAATCATCAAAATACCGTATATCGCGAGGGTACCGCTATATGGGGGCTATACGAAGACGTGGACCTGCACAGATAATCTCCTGTCATATGCTGTAGTATTGATTACGAACATCAAATACCAAATTTGAAACAATACCGATGAATAATGTCGCTAGAATCATCAAAATACAAAATATAGAGAGATACCGTTATATGGGGGGCTATACGAAGCCGTGGAACTGCACAGACAATTTTTTGTCTTAGGCTGTATACTATGGTGGAGGGTATAAAAATTCACATCAGCAGATGTTTAATGTGTCGTTTTAGGGCTATGAGACCACCTGCATAAAAGACAAAACTGACAATACGCTGTCTATATATTCATTAGTCTATGTCAAATTGGCTGCAATCGGGAATTTTAAATTTGTTACCATTTTCTTCACCTCCTGATTGAAGACAAAAATATTATAATGTTTTTTTTTCGTTGAAATCACGATAGAGGACGCAATATTTAGGAAACTTGAAACTTTGCACAGGATGACTGATATTAAAAATGGTAACGAAGTAATTCGCTACATACACCTACATCTATATACTATTTGAATTTCCATAATGAATTATTAAAATTTAATTTCACTCGCATTTTAAAATATGTATATATGTATATTATTTATGTCTGATAATTATTTGGGTAAAATCATTTAGTTTTAAGAGTAGAATGTATAAGAGATTAGTATAATAGAGCCCAGCAACCAATTCTCTTTCGTAGCATACACAACAATTTAAACTGTTATAATCTCTCTGAGTGGTTATCACTGTTATACTTTCACATGTGAGCGTTTTCTTTACATACGCATTCCCAGCAAGCATTTGGAAGTGAGTGACTCACTTCCATTTTAAGATGCCACTTCTGCGACGCTTCTAATCGTAATAAATGCGATAGTATGTACATTTACAATAACAAACTACTGGTGTCTACTTTCTATCGTCACGTAGTTACTACGTAGTGGCGCAAGAAAGTTAAAAGAAGGTATCTCGTGTGCAGACACTATGTAGTGACTGCAATCGGATAAAACAGTGATAGTTTACAATCATTCACGAATTGAACATAAATAAGACTTTATTCTATCTGAGGAATATAAGACACTGTGGCGCAGTGGTAAGCATGCCAGCTTTGCTCTCTGAACACCTCGGTTCGATTCCCAATCCAGACATCACATTTTTAAAACGAAAAAAAATGTTTGAATATTTCATCTAATAAGTAAGAGTTCTATGTAAATTAACATTGGAAAACGTAACCATAACAATAAAAAATAATAAATGCTTATGTCTGGAGTAAAAATTTTTTTTTTTTGTTTTTTCACTTCCAATAACTATCGAGGAAGTGACTTCCACGATTTTTAAAAAACTATCGCGGGTTTCTGCCGCATTTATAGTTGTCGGGGTTAGCACCATTCCCAGCAAGCATTTGGAAGTGTGTGACTCACCCAGCAAGCATTTGGAAGTGTGTGACTCACTTCCATTTTAAGATGCCACTTCTGCGACGCTTCTAATCCTTTTAAATGCGATAGTATGTACGTTTACAATAACAAAACTACTGTTGTCTACTTTCTATCGTCACGTAGTTACTACTTAGTGGCGTCAAGAAATTTAAATGAAGGTGTCGCGTGTGCAGACACTATCTAGTGACTACCATCGGATAAAACAGTGACAGTTTGCCATCATTTACGAATTGAACATAAATAAGACTTTATTCTATCTGAGGAATATAAGACACTGTGGCGCAGTGGTAAGCATGCCGGCTTTGCTCTCTGAACACCTCGGTTCGATTCCCAATCCAGACATCACATTTTTAAAACGAAAAAAAAACAAAAAAACAGAGAAAACAAACAATAAATGAAAAAAAAAAATGTTTGAGCATTCCATCTAATAAGTAATAGTTCTATGCAAATGAACATTGGAAAAAGAGACAATAACAATAAAAATAAAAAAATAAATCCTTAAGTCTGGAGTAAAAAATTTTTTTTTTTAGTTTTTTTCACTTCCAATAACTATCGAGGAAGTGACTTCCACGATCATTAGAAAACTATCGCGGGCGTGGTTCATCTCTTCCCGAAGGATGCTCCTTCCGGGGTGAGAAAGCGACATCAAACGCGATGATTTCAATCGCTTAGGCGTGACTTCTAAGTGATTTGGGGGATAGATTTTGCTTGCTGGGCACTTCCATTTTAAGATGCCACCTCTGCGACGCTTCTAATCCTATTAAATGTGATAGTATGTACATTTACAATAACAAAACTACTGTTGTCTACTTTCTATCGTCTTTACATACGCATTTCTGCCGCATTTATAGTTGTCGGGGTTAGCACCATTCCCAGCAAGCATTTGGAAGTGTGTGACTCACTTTCATTTTAAGATGCCACTTCTGCGACGCTTCTAATCCTATTAAATGTGATAGTATGTACATTTACAATAACAAAACTACTGTTGTCTACTTTCTATCGTCACGTAGTTACTACTTAGTGGCGCCAAGAAAGTTAAAATAAGGTGTCGCCTGTGCAGACACTGTCTAGTGACTGCCATCGGATAAAACAGTGATAGTTTGCAATCATTTACGAGTTGAACAAAAATAAGACTTTATTCTATCTGAGGAATATAAGACACTGTGGCCCAGTGGTAAGCATGCAAGCTTTGCTCTCTGAACACCTCGGTTCGATTCCCAATCCAGATATCATATTTTTAAAACGAAAAAAAAATGTATGAGCATTTCATCTATTAAGTAATAGTTCTATGCAAATGAATATTGGAACAAGTAAAAAAAACATTAAGTTCGGCCGGGCCGAAAGGGTAAAGGAAACATTAGAAGAAATGTGGCAAAAACCATTAAAATGCCGAATATCGGGAGGTACCGTTATATGGGGGCTCTACCAAATCGTGGACCTACACATGCAAGGTTCCGCCAACGGAGCTAGAACCCATTATGACCTACAAATACCAATTTTCAGACAAATGCGTGAAAAAAGGGGCAAAAAACATCAAATTACCGAATATCGGGAGGTACCGTTATATGGGGGCTATACCAAAACGTAGACCTATAATTACAATGACTCGCCACACGAACTGGGACCCATTATGATCTCCAACTACCAAATTTTCAGTGAAATTCGTGAAAAAATCAGTTAAAAATCATCAAAATACCGAATATTGGGAGTTACCGTTATATGGGGACTATACCAAAACGTTGACCTATACATACAATGTTTCGCCACACGAACTAGGACCCATTATGACTCACAAATATCAATTTTTAGACAAATCCGTTAAAAACTGTGGCAAAAATAATCAAAATATCGAATATCGGGAGGTACCATTATATGAAGGCTATACCAAAACGTGGACCTATACATGCTATGTTTTGCCACACATACAGGGACCCGTTATGACCTACAAATACCAATTTTTAGACAAATCCGTTAAATAATGTGGCATAAATCATCAAAATACCGAACATCGGGAGGTACCGTTATATGGTGACTATACCAGAACGTGGACCGATATATCTCATTTTCAATACCAACCATCCTAGATACAATACCAATTGCTCTGCTAAATTTTGGCGCTCTACGTCAAATAATGTGGGCTGTATCGTGATTTCAACAGACAGACAGACAGATGGACATCGTTAAATCGACTTAGAATTTTATGCAGATTATGAATATATATTCTTTATGGGGTCTACGACGAATATTTAAGGATGTTACAAACGGAATGACAAAGTTAATATACCCTCCTTTCCAAGGTGGAGGGTATAAAAAGAGACAATAACAATAAAAATAAAAAGACAAGTTAAAAATCAGTAAGTTCGGCCGGGCCGAACTTTTAATACCCTCCACCATTTGCAACGAATTTGGAAATTTTCAAAAATAAAATCCTTAAAAAATTCTGTTAAAATTTTAAAAATACCGAATATAGCCGTTATTTTGGGGTCTATACGACGTGGACATACATAGTCATTGTTTGTCATAAGCCATTACCATATTCAAATTCGAAACTTGAAATAAACGGTGAATAATGTAGCTAAAATCATCAAAATAACGAATATAGGGAGGTACCGTTATATGGGGGCTATACGAAGACCTGGACCCGCACAGACAATTTTCTGTCACAGACTGTAGTTCCCATAACGAACTTCAAATACCAATTTTAAAACAATTCCGGTGAATAATGTCGCTAAAATCATCAAAATACCGAATATAGGGAGGTACCGTTATTTGAAGACGTGGACCTGCGCAGACAATTTTCTGTCTTAGGTGTGTAGTATCCATTTTGAACTTCAAATACCAATTTTAAAACAATTCCCGTAAATAAATTCGCTAAAATCATCAAAATACCGAATATAGGGAGGTACCGTTATATGGGGGCTATATGAAAACGTGGACCTACATGGCCCATTTACGAACTTAACCTGCCTACTGGAAAAATAAACATGTGTGCAAAATTTTAGCCACCTATCTCTAATCATTCGAAAGATAGAGTGA